AATACTGTATTAAAACTAAATATTTATTTGATCATAAAGGAAAACAATTCAAATAATTGATATGGGATCCACATATATTTTTTTCAATAATGATGTGTACTTCTTTTCTGTTTTGTAGGTTATGTTGAGGAATTATTTGATGCTCTTCCTTTGAGAGTCGGTATGAGATCAAAATGCTTAAGGATGCACTTGACAATGCAAAAGAAAATCATGACGTCATTCCTGAACAAATAAAAAAGTACTTTATTTGGACTGATAAGGCTACACTGGTTAGGGAAAGAAAGTCAAGATTCAAATGAAACAGAAGTTTAATGTAGGTTATGCAGTAATGTTAAAATTAGGAATTCAAGTGCAAGTATCGGAAGGAAATGGCTTCCATATTGTAAGAACTGCACATGCTAGTATTACTCTTCGGTTGTTTCGGCCAATCTTGTGCCAGATCCAACATATGAATCGTCTGTATGCAACATGACGGTACAATCTAATACAGTAATGTTAATGCAGGACCCCAAATGGAAATAAACCTGCAATTGGTTTTCTTGGGCTATCCTGGCCAATGTTTGTTAATGTTTCCCTGTTTGTTAACTGTAAACTTTTGGCTGAATAAATAAATAAATGAATGAGAAAAAAATATTTTTTTCAGATAATTGCTAAAGAAATTTACATGAAATTTTTAAAGCTTGGAGAAATAGTTAGGTGGTGTTTTCCCCTTTTCATCCAAATATTGGTCAATAATGGCAATTTCTGTAAAGCATGGACACTCTTGTTGCATTACTCACAAAAGCATATAGGTCTGAACAATTTTTACTATATTGTATATACTATATATGCTTTATAAAAATTGAAAAATACTGAAAAACAATAATGCTTTGGGAATAAATGGAATAATATGCCCTCTTCTTATCATCAGCAATAAATGATGACAAGACAAGATCCAGCAATTGACAAGACAAGATATATATATAAATAGTACAGTACTCCACTAAACAATTTATGTAGAGTATTTGTTTATTGTAATTTGAGAATGATTAATATATATATATATGTATATATATATATATTTTTTTATCTTGTATAAGCATCAGGAAAAAGAATTTTACATTTGAATTTTTTCACAAGTGGCGATAAAAGAATCTTCTGTCTCTAAACCTCTTTGCATTAATGATATAATTATATATACATTTTGAACATTAAATATAAAAAAAAAGTTCACTACATAAACGAAATCTTATAGTTGTTTTTGTTTTATAATGTTCTTCAATTTGTAGTTCTCTTTCTATTGCACCTCATTTTTCACAATCACAGCAAGTGCACAGCACAGAAACAAGCTATGAAACGCATTTGAAATCAGCAGTGATTTAGTGTATTTTATTATCGAATTCTAAATGCTACGTACAAAAACCATATAAATTCATTTTTTTAAATTGCAATATACTGTAATTACTTACTAAAACAAGTTTATAATTAAATTAATAAGTATAATTATCATAAAACGCCCATTGCCTCCCATCAATACTGCCCTCGATTGAGAGTAACTTTCTACACACAACACAAGCACTTGAATAAGTAATGCAAGCCTGTGGAATTTCTTCCATCGGAACATCAGTACAAAATTCGTAGAAAGAGGAAAAACAAGAATGTTTATTTTAATATATACTTTATTGAAAACGAATGACAAAAGAAAAGTGCAAGCTATGAATAAAATTGCATTTCTAAGTAGGCTAGGCTTAGGCCTTTCTCTTTGGGTAAGGTAGGTATGTCCTCTCTTCCTCACTCTATAGTCTAGCACAGTCTAGCCTAGGCCTATTTCTGGATCGTGATGATGATCGTGATGTGAATTTATTTGCCTCTACATCTTGTGTAGTACTGTCATTATTGTATTTAGTACAATATTATTGATGCTAAATTATTTAAGTGTTAGTCACCATAACAATTCATCCACATACCGTAGCTGTACTTGGACAGATCATACCAAAAACACCCCGTACACAACTACTAATCTGCTTGCGCATATTTTTCCCAGCGTGGACTGATGTGGATCAGATTACGCAACCTGAATTCAGGCACAAATGACGTCACAACGCAGATTTGTTTACCTCATTAATTTCTGGCAGGTTTGCAGTAAGGACATACAAATCCTTAAATTACCTAATGAAGCCAACATTTTTCAGATTCCAAATTTGGCACATCTTTTTATTAGATAATGATGATCCTAAAACGTCCTATTCCAGCTATATTTCACAAGTCCTTTAACCGTGGGCGATTTTTTTTTCCCGTACGAAACATTTACATGAAACTCCACTCGCGCCGTATCGGCTGAATCGACCCGAAAATCTCATTGTAGAATTCAGGAGGTCAAAAGGTCATCAACAGATAAACGTCTACAGAACAACTACTGAGAGAACGTCGCTGTCTAATTTTTTAAAATACATTGATGTTACCGTGTTAAAACCAATGGGTCGTTTAAAATGACATATAATATTTGATTAAGCTGCACGAGTAATGAAAAGTGTTATTTTAACTTGAGTTACATACTATGACAATTTTAATTTTTTAGTTAGGCCTGGGTTTTGCATTACCTAGGCCTACTAAAAACGCTTTCTGGGAAAAGCACAAAGAGTAAGGAAAAGCGC